CCCCACATCACCCATGTCCCCCGTGTCTCCCGCGTCCCCCTCAACCCCCATCCCAGGGCCACCGCCTGCGCTCCCTTGCTGAAACCTCTCAATTATCCTTCTCGCTAACTGATCCTCCCCTAAAAATCAGGTGATAAAAGGGATAATGGAACATCAATAATAAGCCACAACTCTCCTGGCGGCACCGTACGCATCCATCTCACAAGGCATAAAAGCTCTGCCCGTATCTGCCTCCTCCCCATGCCCTTCCCCAGAAACCAACGCCTGATTAATAGCTGAACTGTATTTAATTCCCCAAAGAATCATTAAACACCGTATCTGTTTCATTAAACGGATACAGGACAATTCACCTTGTGTAATCATATCACATAAAACTTTGCTTTGGAACCACTCCAGGGAGATCGTAAAATTAATGTCACGGAACCGAAGGGCGGGGGGTTGGGGGTTTCACGGCGCCCGTGGCCTCTGTGAGCCCCATGCAGGGCTGGGAATGGGGCGGGGGAAGGAAAATCCCCCCCTGGCACTGGCGGGCAAGGCTGGGGGAGAGGGCATGGCTTTTTTTCCCCCAAATTGCCCCCCAATGAGCTCCTGGGAGAAGGGAACGGTTTGGCGAGGGGGGCTACAGGGAGCAAGGGGCTTTCTGCGGGGGAGGCTGGGAGCCCTGCGCCCCATCCTCATTCCTCACCTTTCCACACTTTTTTTTTTGTCCTTTGGATGATTTATTTAACCACGCAGCCCAGCGCTAACTGCAAAGCTGGCACAAGGCAAGTGTCCCCACTGGGGCTTTGCTGAGAGGGCAGGGTGGGTGCCCACGGTCCCACAGGGACCCCCAGGCTCCACGGCCAGGGTCCCCTGTGGGCTGAGCCCTACATGGGATCAGCAAAATGGGGGTCTCCAGCCCCTCCCCGCTCCCCCGATGCCAAACCACATCTCTCAGCAAACCCTCCCAGCCCAATTAAAGTCCTCAAGTGATGGAGAATCTCCATCTTTCTAGGCAAGTTGTTCCAATGGTTAATTAACCTGATAATTAACCCATCAGCTAATTACGCTGTACGTCCTCTGGAAAGAATTTGGTGATGTATTTTGACGCACGCCCAAACCAGACCGTGCTGGGGCGGAGGGAAGGGTCCCCTCTGCCTGCCCCCCCATCCCTTTGGGGGCACAAGGTGTGTGTGTGGGGGCTTGGGACCGGGAAAGCCCAGGGGGGTCCCCATGGTGCTGGGATTCAGCGAGGGGATCACCCGGCGTTCCCCCTCCAGCTCTATCTGCGGTTTGCGGGGTCCCTTTGGGATGCAGCGGATGGGGGTAATGTCCAGCAAGGGGCTCGTGCCCCAGCACAGCAAGGGCGACACCAGCCTGGGGAGAAAAGCCATGGAGGAAGCAGCGGGATGTTCCTCTTCCCTGGTTTTACGGGATGGGGCGGTGGGGAGAGCGGGGCTGGGCCGTCTTGGCACCGCAAGCACATGGCGATAACGAAATCCAGGCACATAGCAGCAACAACAGCAAAAGCTCCCCTTAAATAAACTCTGAATTAAGGGTAGCAGATGTTCAATCAAGCTAAATATTTTAACTCTTTCCAATGAAGTCAGTTCCACAACAGCAATTTGTAAATTGCTATAATTAACAAGCCTCCACAATATGCCTCCGCGTGGGAAAGGTAGCGTCTGCGGAGCAGCTGGGCGCACCCAAATAACACCCGTGTCCGTAGGGACGGGCTGGCGGCTGCCATCGGCCCTGCTGCCGGCGTG